TTGTTGAATTATTTTCTAATTTTGCTTACGCAGTCTTAAGATCCATCCGTTATGGTTGTATGTGTCATATTATATCAAATGCTTCAGTTTAACACATATATTTTATTAAGTGAATGTTAGAAACGTAAGCGTTCGAATACTTTCGTGTATGAGTGTATATATACGAAACAGTATATTTTTTAAGTGGTTTAAGTAGTTTAATCTCTATTAGAATGTAAAGAAAAGATATATGGTTCTATTAAAAAAAATCGATGACCTTGAAATCTTGTAAAAAAAGTCCCTTAGAAAATTGAATATGTTGAATTTTCATTTCATTTTTTAATTATGAGTTCAGTGGAGTTCAGTGTTCGCTTTGGTCGCATTTTGCCTTATATTAATAACGAAATAAAAATTGGCTGCTATTAGCTGTTACTGGAGAAATCATCTAATAATAATGCCAAAATGGCACGTGCCACGAAGCATACCGTGATATATGTATATGGGCTACCGAGTTACGCTAGATGTTTTGAATAGGTTGAGTAAAATATCAATATTTCAAGTGTTCGCACTCTAGTGAAACTAATGAGAATAATTATAAAATATTTTTTTTTATTATAAACAAACTTTTGCTCACATTCACCAAGGCTTTTAACAGTTTTAATCCAACACCTCTGACTGTGAAGACGTTTTTGCCATAGAGTTTCCTCAGAAAGACGTCAAAATAGGGATTGCAAGCTGAGAGAATCAGCTTCCCGTTGCCGAAATTTTTCATTAACATACTTTCGCGTGGTTTCTCTCGTTTCTCTATATTCGCACGGTTTATATATCACAAGAGGAAAACTTGGAGAAACAACACCGTTCCGTGCTCGGCGATCACTATCCGATCAACGCGGCTTCTTTTCACACAATAACCGTGCTGGCCCATACGAGGCTCGCCTCGTCTGGAATGTGCTACAGAGTGTTGGAGGGGGAACCCTAGTGTGCCGACGGCACTGCCATTAGAAATTGCCATTGGATTTCATTGCCACCATCCAATCCACTACTCGTGACAGGATAGTCGATGTGGTGGAGCTGTATTTTCAGCATTTCGCAACGTGTGTAGAGCGATAGAAGCAGTGGTTCGCGGGTTACCTTGAAATCACCAACAATGTTTTTATTGACACGATTTCGCCGACATTGTTTGTATACCAACGCATTGAAATCACCAACAAATGTTTACATCGATTCCCGTTTCACCGCAAATGCTATTGTTAACACTTAGAACTCTTGACAATATAGAGTGACTTTGAATAATATTCTTATATCATTTAAAATGCACTAATTTTTTAAAAACTGGACTAAATGACTTGAATTCTTTTAGATAATAGAGGCACCATTGTGGCAGACCATGTGCTGTAAACAATAAGTGTGAGAAATCACAGTTTCTTAAATCTTTTAACGCTTGTAACTTGTCTTTGGGTTAACCGATTTCGATGAAAATTTCAACATGCATCGTTATGGGCTCAGATAAAAAAATTAAAAAGTGAGTTTTCTATTTTTTTTTGTCACTCTAAGCAATGGCAAAATTTAGAAAACAATATTGATCTATATCTAAACAAAAGTTCAAGTCGTTTAACCTAATCCTATAAAAGTTATTGCGTTTTAAAAGGTGTCCGAATATTAATCAGTGTCACTCGTACAATAATAAAGCTGTAATTTTCCCTGCGGTTTGTATTCTTAAATGATGTTGATGAGAATTGAGTACGGTTTTTTCGATCCGGGAACTTAAACGGGACACTCGGGGCTATATTCTGCACTGTTTCAAATTTTTCAATATTGCTGTTCTATACAAATATCACATTTCTTTAAAACAATTGCAAAACAAATAGTGAAAAAATAAATTGTTCCGACTAAAATTATTTTTCTTAGGTGCACTTATGATTCTACTTTTACCACCAAAAATTTCATACACATCGGTTTGGTAATTCAATATTTATGACTATATGCGGATGTTTATGTACATATTGATTTGCTTAGAATAATATATAAAAATGTAGCGGACTGACAACGTAGGAAGGAAGGAATTTTCGGACGTAGATTCTAGTCTTTCGGAGTGCATGCGGTAGGTGTCCAGGTCGTAAAATTGACGAAGTCCAAATCCTGCACCTTGTCGCTTGAAGTCCTCATAGGCGACGACTTTCTTGAATTGTTTTCTTGCAGATAATTGAGCCGTTTATTTTGAAAGTGGCATAAGTCACTTTGTTTTTGAGTCGATATATTTAAGGATTTGCGTTTTAACACGTTTAAAAATATGGGTGCTAACTTTCGAGAAGATTTACTTGTATTTGTAATCTCATGATACTGATATTTTTCTCAGTATAAATAATTTCGTATAAACATTAAAAAATCACCACTTTTCATTACGGTAAAGTGACTTATGCCACTTTCAAAATAAACGGCTCAATTCTCCCTTAGGTTTGAAGCATAGGGAATTTTCCTTTCTTCAGCAATTCGGAAAGTCATCGACAAGGACAACCGTACAGTACATCCCTTGTCAGATGAGGGAAAACGTGCAACAGTCGGACCGTACAGATCGTGACGAACTTATCGCCGCGATATTTTCTAATTATTTAGAATCATTATCATTGTTGTCTAGTTATCGTTACTTTCCTTTGTTTACTGTTGTTATCGTTGTTTCGTTATTGTTATGTCGTTGTTACTTTATTCATTGTTATTGTTTTGCAAATATATATTTATGTTATTTCTTATATTACGCGCACTGTTGGACACACAAAATATTCACCCGCATTTACCTACAGAAAAACACAAAAATATATTTTATAATTTGCATGTTGCATATGTTTTACATATTTATGTTCAACCGTCCAGTGCACGGATGAAAATATTTCCACCCAAAATAAATGAAAAACAATATCCTCATGGGTACGACAGACACAATCCGTGCATTTAAAAGTTAGAAACATATGCAACAACATATTGCGTATATTATTTGCCATATACATGTGGTGTATCATACTCAACTGAATCGTCCACCTTGTTAAATTAATTTAGTCAGTACATGTTTCATAATCGGATTAAGGTTGGCAGCACTTCTGTGTCAATATAATGCTGAATATACACGACAGCAAACTACGTTTTCAAAGGTCAGTTGGTAATTATTCGGTTCTATTGTTGAAACGACAATATGAATTTTCTGTGAGTACGTTTCAATATTTAAATAAATTTTATTTATATTAAAAATAAAATAATTTTATTTTATTAAAAATAAAAATTCTCTGTATCGAAGACGATTCAAATTTCATTATTGATGAATAATAAAGAAAGTATTTATTGTCAAACATGCAATCAAAATGTGAAATGCGGTCGAAAATCATAATAAGTCGGTTATCAAATTTAGAAGAAATGCTTCCATCATACTGTAATTCAAAGTACCGTAAATTCTTCCTAATTGATGCTCAGATTGTACACAAAAATGGACAATTTGGGAAGAGGAGATACCATTATTCGTTTTTATATGTAGTTACCGATTGTCAATAACTATAAAAACGAGCTGCAAGGCTCGAATAATCGTACCTGATCTTTCCAAATTGTTCATTTTTGTGTACAAGCTGAAGGTCAATTAGGGAGAATTTAATAAGAAAAACATAAATAAAATAAATATAAAATATAAATATAAATATAAATAAATATAAATAAATATAATAAATAGAAATATAAATAATATATAAATAGATAAATGTTCTCACAGAAACTCGTTCGGAACTTTTTATAATCTCACGACCAGTGCAGTCAAGAAAATTATCTACGTCAGGCGACGCATGCGCAGGGAGCCCTGCACAGCAGCGTGGGGCGTCTACCGGGTGAACATTGTAATGCTGAACTGCGATGACGACACGATGCAGATCCTCTGTCTGATTGTAGTTCAGAATTGTAATGTTCGCCGGGTTGGCGCTCCACGCCGCTGTGCGGAACTCCCTGCGCATGCGTCACTTTTATGCTCATAGAAAAATTTGCAACCAAATTCTTACTATTGCATTATATACTTTCTTTATTCTTAACGCGTTAAGTGTTTAGTTCGTGCGTAGTTAAATTGTGGTATTTATTAAAAATTTAATCTACTTTGATCTTTATATAATTTGTAATAAGAATATAATTTATAATATAAAGACACGAAAATAATAAAGAATTAGATATATTTCTACTGTTATATAATTTTCATTCTAATAAGTATTCATAGTGTTAGGGAAAGATAGTAACAATAGCACAGTTCAGCAATACAAAAATTATATATACATGTATTCTGCTTTTTGCAATTTGTACAGAAAACGTTGCTACCGAAAAATTTCTCTACGAATCCAGGGTAGTCTGTAATTATTTCTAATTCCGATGCCCCACGAAATTAGTGACATTCAGCATATACATATAACCTTGACATTCAGCATAAACGTATGTACAGTCAGTATACAAAGTATTCGTACACCTTTTAAAACGGAATAACTTTTTTATAGTTAGGCCAAGCGATCTAAATTTTTTGGAGTTATTAGATAGATTAGTTTACCAGGCAATAGCTAACAAGTTGTATTAAAAACTTGCAACTGGTTGGTATGATACAAAAATAAAGAAATGATATTTTGCAATTTTCTTATTTGAGCCTATAATGAAGATTTAAGCAATGCGTTCTGTAGATCTCGGTAAGTTACATACATGTTAAAAATGTCATCTGAATCGGTTAACGCAGAGTCAAGTTATAAATATTCAAAGATTCAAAAATCTGCAAAATTCTAACAGTTATTGGTCGAAAGTATCAAAAATCGTGACGAAACTGCGATCCCCGTAATCTTGAACTGTTTGCAGTTCATATCAAGGTCATCTGATTTCGATGCAATTCTTACCATGTCTACATATGTATATGTTACCGAGATCTACGAACGAAGGCGGATTTAGGTATAGGCTAAATAGGTTATAGCCTAGGGCGTAGGTAGTTAAGTATTTGAGAAAAATCCCGCTTTAAGTTTTTCTATATACAGTAAAAAATTATATGACTTTAAGCTGTTTTACATTTGATTATTACGAATTAAACGAAAACTATTAATTATTTCCTATATATTGTATTATGAATCATTTGGTGGAGATTGACATCTTGTGAGAACGGAACAAAATTTATATAATAAATGATAAAATGCTAAATTTAATATATTTTAAATGATTACGATTATCCTTCCTCTTATCTTTCCTTGTCATTGCGAGGCGGCAAAAATGTATTAGCCTAGGGCGACAAAAATCTAAATATCTCAAAAAAAGACTCAGATAAGAAAGTTATTAAAAAACGAGAGTTTTCTATTTTCTTTTGGTATTCCAAGTAATATCAAAATTTAAAACAGCATTTTAGCCATTGTTTAGTAGACTAGATCATCTAAAAAAAATCATATCATTTAATCCAGTTTCGAAAAAGCTACACCTTTTTTCAAGTGGTTTTAAATATATGACCGCCACCGTATATAAGCTGTCTCTTATACACATCTAGATGTGTATAAGAGACAGATTTAATCCAGTTTCGAAAAAGCTACACCTTTTTTCAAGTGGTTTTAAATATATGACCGCCACCGTATATAAGTTAACAAAATATATAAAATGCATTTTTTAAACTTACATTATAGGCCTGGATAAAACAGTTGAAGAAACATAATTTTTTAATTCTTTTACCATGACCACCAATTGCAATTTTTGAAAACAATTTTTTATTCATTGTATGGTAAACTAATTTTTCTAACATCCCATAAAAATTTAGATAGCTTGGCCTAATTATAAAAGGTGTACTAATACTTTGTATACCGACTGTATCTAACACTAATGCCCTAAATATTTTACAACACTTTTAAGTTCAATCCATTATGTTACCCAATATGATTGACTTTTATGTACCA